GAATTAGCTAACTATCCCAATAAAGGAACATCCGCAAAAGGAGTATTGAAATTGTATGTCCTGGTAAAATAAAGAATTAACGGTATTACAATATCCAGCTGTATGGTGCAGCGGTTTGGGCTCTCGATGCGATCGTACATTTGCGAGTTCAAATCCGAGGCAGGGGCCAATACAGGCGAACAACCATCCAGGGGCAATACAATAAGTACCACTTCTAGGGAGCTCAATCAAGGTCATCTTAAGGAGAAATTGAGCTCCAGCTATAGAAATATCGAATTTTCACAATGGATCCAGCACTGCCAATGAAGATGAACAATGTCCAAAACAAATTTGAGAAGGGAGACCGTTTGACTGACATTGAGAAAACTAGCACATTGCAATAATAAATCAGGCAAAGCTCTTTTCTTTCTCGTTGCCAAAATTAAATACTAACCCATTGATCAAACAGGTCCCTGCAGGGTGGGCTGGTAGGAACATTGGAATTTTGCGCAATTTTATGACATTGTTACGCATTCCTGTTACGTGACTTCCAAATGTTGGGTGCAATAAGACATATCAAGTCTCTGCGCTGTCTATTGCTGATTTTACACCCAACAGCACGAGATTTCACTTCGTTAAAGTATTGAAAGGGGACGGACGGACGGACACATTCATCTATTGCAGGCTGGTACACTCAGTTTACAACTTCGTTCCTTCCAGTATAAACGCTCCATACCAACATTTTAGACAGGCCTTGGTATGGTTTTAACTTTGCTGAATCTCATCAGCAACATGTGGCCGCCTGTTAAAACATTGTACCTGTGCCGTCTGATATTATACACACGACCCATATAAACATTGTGGAAGCCTCTGTTGCTTATTTCTCTATTCCCGTAATCCTCCTGGACAGCACATGATCATATTTAAAATATTTATTTTCAAGATATTTAAGGAATGAACAAGGCACTGTTTATGCCCCCTTCTAAATACCAGGGATGCTTGAAATTGCACATTAACCTTGAACCAACCCTGCCGACTCTCTTGACACATACGAATACGTGCCTATTTCGACTGGAAACACTGAAGACATTATTAACAGTCGCAATAGCATCGCCCTCGGTAGCGAACAAGCCACACATGTTCATTGCCTCCCATTCATTTATTTTGAAAGGGAATGATTTCAGACCATCCTCACTATTTTTCTCCAGACGATGTTATCAGCATTAGAACATGCATATCTTGACAGACTTGTCCCCATCTCAGCAAGGACCTATGGAAGAACATGCTTTGTTTACAGATATGGTCGTAACAATCTATCATTGTCCTGTGGGTAGTGTGTGTGGGTGGTGCGACCTTGATGGCAATCAAAGCAATTTCGTGAACCTGCTTGTTTTAATAAAGCATGCGTTTGACTTCACGTTTCAATGGAACAATGTCAACGTGTATAAAGGTTGGATGTATAAAACAAAATGGGAATGCTGTAGCCAGAATTATTTCCAGAATCCTAGCATCCCAAGCTTCAGATTCTTTAAACTCCTCCCAAACAAATGCCAAATCTACTCCAAGATGTAACTCCCCTTATACGGACCCTCTCTCCACTTATTCCCTGTGCCACCCAACTTCAACAACCTTCTGTCAATATGCTACCCAAGTTCCACTTCTGCTCAATGGGAGATTGCTCATTCTACGCTGCTGCTCCCACTGTTTAGCAATTCCACCCTCTCCCTGCTTGTCCACATTGCTGACACCCCCCCCCCCCCCCCAACTCTGGTCAAGTCCAGGTTTAAGATTGTACCACATGCTTAATTTGCATCTTCGCTGCAATGATTGCAATTACAGTGAAGATGCAACGATTGACATTGCAGTATGTCCCTCTTCCAATACGTACAGCAACGTGAGATAGTCCTATATACTGCATACAATGCATGCCGTCTAATGTCAGTCCAACGTAAGTGGAGGGCTTTGCCACACCGTGTCCGTCATGAGGGTTATTTTACCTTGCTTGACAGTGCAGGTTGGTGGTGTACAGTACACCAATGGATCTTTCTGCACTGCCCTCAGCTGCCCAGAAAGCAGCCCCACAGTAGCCTATAGCACATGTTTTATCGATGGTGGTCACTCATCCAAGCACTACGCAGGCTCAACTCTGCTTAGCTTTCAAGCTTGACAATATTGTGGCACATCCCAAGTGAATTGCTCAGAAGCATATCTATTTCTATTAATTATATTTAAACGCTTTTTTTTAATATCCACATACCATTGCATTAGGTTGTATTATACGTGCAAAATGGCTTTAAGCTTGAAGATACTAGGGAATACTTTAATTCCATATCACTTGGAACCCGGGATGCGTCTGCTGTTGGCAAAGCAACATTGCAGGCAGCAAAAGGCGTTGGAGGCTTTCCTTCGTCTAGTGGATGTGTCCATTGCACCTCCAATTCGAAGTCAAAGAGTCCATGACCGTGACTGGAGACGTTTTAAAAGGAGGGTGATCAGGCAGCCCTCTGGGTTGACATCAAAGATGACTCAAACCAGGATTTGAATTGACACTTCAGCAGTCTCATTAAGGACAAGTTTCTCATGTGCATTCAACTTAATTGTCTTCGCTCTGTCACCAATGACTGCACAAACATAAATTACGTTACATTGGGTTTGTCACCTTGTAATTTTCCATGTGCGAGACGTAAATAATTTGGTATAGTTTTCATGCTAGGAACACCACTTTTACAGGAACTAAAAGCGTGCACTGCCTCGCGTGGATGAGAGGCCTGTCATTTTAAAAGTAGGTCTATAATGTCTGAGGAAACATTCGCCGACCAGATGTGTCATACGGACACTGTCGGTTTAAAATGAAGGATTTTTTTTGTCAAGGGGTATGATTCCAATAGCTCGACTCAAATATATATGAAAAAAACATTTTAAAAGGATAATGGAAATGCACTTCTTTAATCGCTAAAAAAATATAATCACCATTGAGCACAGTTTAGCATTTTAATGTGTTGGGATTATTAACGATTGTATCATTTACCACAGAAGACAAATGCATATGTCTGTAGGCGCAAATTCGAACATGACAGTGTGATTGTTAGGGAGGCTGCCCCCCGCCTCCCCGTCCTCCTGTGACCCACAGTCCTCCTGTGACCCACAGTCCTCCTGTGACCCACAGTCCTCCTGTGACCCACAGTCCTCCTGTGACCCACAGTCCTCCTGTGACCCACAGTCCTCCTGTGACCCACAGTCCTCCTGCTCTCCCCCCCTAGCTGCTGCTCCTCGGGGCACGATTTCAACAGCCACACCACCCAACGCACAGCCACACCACCCAACGCACAGCCACACCACCCAACGCACAGCCACACCACCCAACGCACAGCCACACCACCCAACGCACAGCCACACCACCCAACGCACTCCTCTCCCTCCCCGTGCTCACAGAGACGACACGACACGGGTTAGTGTCTACTGGTGGTTTATTTTCTGTTTAATTAAGAGTTAATCCCCCGTGCCAGTGTAGACCAGCAGGACAGATCTAACCTCTCTCTCTCTCTACTGTTTAGGGCTCAATTTGCCTAGTCTCTCCCTACTCACCCCTCTACGGGATTTTATCCTCAGACTTACCTCTCCACTCTATACTTACGCTGCATAAGTGTATAGAGCTGGGAAAGCTGGCCCCGGCTGCTCTCTTGACTCGTCCCGCGGACGTTCGAGAGGCAGGGAGCATGACGACTCTTCGATTGCCCTCTCCAGTTGACCCCCAGCACAAAGAGACCTTGCTTCCCAATGTCACTCCCTTTCATCCCCAGCTTCAGAGCCTACGTGCCGCCGACCCGCTGGCCCCTTATCCAATCGGTAGCCTCGCCTCTGCCGCCGCACCCCCCTGTCGTGTACTCTTCCCAAAGGGTCAACCGGTGCCGCCCCGCTCCCCCCTCATTGTTTGACGGAGTGCGCCGCGTCATGGGCATCGACCTGCGCCGTCCCGCTCCACACCTGCCTGCTGGTCCGCGGGTGCCTTGGGCATTTCCTCAATGCGGTTCTCGGCGAGTTCGCCGTGGCCGTACAATTTTAAGTCACTCCACGGCGCCGCAGTGTCGTTCGGCCTGGGAGGGAGGGGGCCTGCCAATTCCCTGGCCCTGAGACACCGTGGAGCACCCCCACGAGGGGGTCCTCTCGGGTAAAAACTCAGGGGCAGGCGACCCCCCCCCCCCCCCCCCCCCGCCGCGAGGCCCTATGTGAGGGCAGCTGTGTGTGTGTGTTTATTTGGGGGGGTGTTGGGGGGGGATCGCTGTGACGGGAGCCGGGTGGCTCCTCGGCCACAGCAGCACAGCGACGGTCCCGGTCTCGACGGAGCGGCTTCGCTGCCGTGACGTCACATAATCGTGAAGCAAAATGGTCACCGAGAATATCACCGCTCATTATCTTGACGATTTGGCACGGAGGTTGCAACCATAATTCCGCCGATGCGTATGCATTAATACGCCCACAAAAAAAACGTGTCAGATAATTCACTGTATATGTTATGAACCCCCAATGTGCCATTTTTCTGGCATAACAATCGTAATGGACGAGTTAGCCTATGTCTGCATCTACGGCACTAAAACTATGCTTCCTGCTGCACGTATTTATTTCCTCAAAAACAGGGAAGTTCAATCTATATAGGCCACACGGCTTCCTCTTTAACCTGCTCCCTTCAGGTCCCAACCCTTTCTAATTAGGTCCCAGCCCTTCCTACCCATGCCCCATCTCTTCCTTTTTAAGCTCTGCATCTTTCCTTTTTAAGCCCCACCTTTTCCTCTTTAGGCTCCGCCTCATCATGATTAGCCTCCGCCAGGCCTCTCCCCATTTCCATTTAGGCCCCTTCTCCCACACATGGGTTTTTGCTGGTTTAGGGGTAGTGGCGAAGGTTGTGAAAGGGGTGGCGGAGGTCATTAAGGGTAGGGGTGGCTTCAGAACCAAAATCACTTTCAATGAGCTGCAATATAATAAGAGATGTATGATGTGTACACATCAGACATGAAGCATTCAACACCGCATTGAGAAGGCTTTATTCAAATACTGCCTTTTCAAAGTTAAAATTGGAGGAAACATTTAATAACAAAATAATCACACGTTCTTTTTATACAACTATGAAACCTTCACCGACTAGAATGTTAAAATATTAGATTTTCCCTCACAATTATGCATTATCCTGTGGTAGAGGACGTCACAGACATTCTTCCGAGCCTCTTGTTCACGAGGATGTTTGGCATCTCCTATTTGTGATCACTATGCAATTTTCCACTCAATACTTCAAAAGATGATTTGAATTCAAATAATGAGTTATTTTGGTGCCAGCGGCACTTTGCACCAGTTTTCTCCGTTGCTCCAACATGACAAGGCGTTGCGCCTTTGGTGCACTGTCCACTTGCTGTACCCCATGTTTCCCGCTGAGTAGCTTGGTGCAAGTCGCATTTGTGTCGTCCGTTGCTTTTCTTTCCATATTTTATTCATTGCTTGCACCAGATGTGAAGAACTGTGGAAAAGAGAAGGAGAAAGAACTGCAAAATGTATTATTTCACCTCCATACAGCCGACCTGGCCACGGTTGAAATAATAACACAGAGCAAAGGCAGAATTATTTCCCTACGTGTGACTCATGCCTCAATTGTTTGACATGCATTTTAAATTTATCTTATTATTCATTATCACCAGACAGAAGCCCAATCTGTAATAAAAATCGTGCAGTTAATGAAAAACACATTTGCTGATTGCCTTAATAGTGTGATGTTAAGGAGGTCGAAAGAGCTGAGTTTTACTGTATTTGGTGTATTAACTCCGAGCATGCTCATACTAAACGCTTTATTACTCAAGTCTACGGTCAATTAACCAGTTTTATTACCGTTGAGCCTTCCAGCATTTATTCTAGATACATGGGAAGGGCGTCTACAAATATATTATTCAGCGATGTCTGCAGGAGCGGAAGTTTTTTCAGGCACACAAACTCAAGTATTGAGCCCAATTAGGTGAAATGTCATCACCCTACCTACACTTGCAGTAGAAACTCTAAAGCAGAAACCACACACTTTCTAAACTGTGTGATATCAATGGTCGTCGACCATATTCCATCCACCACTACCTCCATCTCAGCGATACCTACACTTAAGCACATCATAATTGCAGGGAATTTTCACCGACTACTACTCCTTGCTGCAGTGAAATGTCTCACCTTGTAAAATATAAATGATGATATTAAATGATACACTTGACTTTAGGAACATTTCAACATCTCCATAATGCGCTAAAATATAATCTCCTGTTTTGTTATTTTTCACCACCTTTCACAAATGTTTACTTTCCTGTAAATTATTTAAAACTTTCCTGAAGTCACTCAAATAGATGCTAACCAATGACTCAGACACTTAACGGTGAATTAAATTAGACTGAGGATGTGGTGCACAGAAAACTATATATTGATTAAAATGTTACGTTCTTTAGGGCATGGGGGACAAGGAGGTGTCATCGTGTTCCCACTTCGTATTTTATTCATTAATCAATACAGACGCCCTCTTTTATTTCAATGCCATTAATCTACTGTTCCCAGAGGTTGGATTTTTTTCCCTCACTTGTGGCACATAAATGATTATTACAAAAGGACACCACATCTAACCAGTAATGGCTGTAACAGTGATTAGCAGTGTGCTCTCCCACATACTGAAAGGCGTACATACAAAATGGTTCGGGAAATATACAATCTAAACCAAACGCATAGAGTTCTCGGTGCTCCCGCAGGACAGGCAACCAAAAACACTGCTTGTGTACGCGTGCTCGGCAATATATCCACTACCACACGCAAGCAAACAGGTTCTTGGGAAGGATGTCAATTAGTCAATATCATATGGCCAGGTGGTGCTGTGGTTTAAATTCCGGACTCACAATTCAAAGGATAACACTGACACAATTTTTGTTCCTGGGTAGTAAGTATTATTTTGCGATTGCTTATGTATAAAAAGTAAATAAAATTGCTAATATTCTCCACAAACTTTGCTTTTGTGACCAGGACAGTGATATTTGAAATTCACCTATTTTAATTGAGAAAACGGGCGAATGTGTCTTTTTGTTCACGTAACGTCAGAAATAAAATAAAAACATACGAATCAAAATTAACATGTATTTATGAAGTAATACAAAAAAGGACTACAAAAGATTTAGAAGCGAGTAGTTTTTCGAGATTTACGATTATACTGTAAATCACTTTCACGAATCAGTCCACAAATGTAGTCTCCCAAACCGTTATACCTGCCCTTGGTAGCGGTGTTCAAAGTCCAGTATATCCTGGTGGAAACACTCGCCTTGCTCCTCCGAGTACGCTCCCATGTTCTCCTTGAATTGATCAAGATGAGCATCAAGGATATGGACTTTGAGGGACATCCTAAGCCCATTGTGCCTTAGTTTTTAACCAGAATCTTAACCAGCTCCTCAGTTTGACCTTGTGATTGCCCAGGAAGCCACGAACCACCGCGACAAAGCTCTTCCAAGCCGCTTTCTCCTTACTAGTGAGCTTCTTGGGGAATTCATTGCACTCCAGGATCTTATTTATCTGTGGTCTGACGAAGACACCGGCTTTGACCTTTGCCTCAGACAGCTTAAGGAAGAAGTCTTGAAGGTAATTGAAGGCTGCCGACTCTTTATCTACAGCTCTGACAAATTGTTTCATAAGGCCCAATTTGACGTGCAGTGGTGGCATCAGCACCTTCCGAGGGTCCACAAGTGGCTCCCACTTGACCTTGTTCCTCCCCACAGAGAACTCTGTCCGCTGTGACCAGTCCTGCCCGTGGTAGTGCGCCTTGGTGTACCTGCTGTCACAAAAGGCAAAGATGGCACGGAAACTTGGTAAAACTGCCTTGGAGACTCATCAGGAATGCCACCATTTTGAAGTCTCCAATGACCTCCCAGTCACTCACCATACTTAAAAGCGTCCAGCAAGGCCTTGATGCTGTTGTAATCCGCTGAGGTGCACCGAGTGAGCCTGGGGAAGAGATGGGTAGTTGTTACCAGTATGGAGCAGCACAGCTTTGAGGCTCTTGAATGAGCTGTCAATGAAGAGGCGCCACTCATTCTGGTTACAGGTGATTCCAATTGCCTCCAACAGACTGGTCACATTGTGGCAGAAGCAGAGCCCATCTTGACGGGTGAAGAAGCTGCAAAAAGGTTGGCGACACACTTCCTCTGGTCTGTGCTTGCACACTTTCATCCAACAAGTTCCACTGCTTGAGTCTAGACGTCAAACGCTCGGCATTGGACTTGGCGAGACCAAGATCTCTGATCACGTCGTTGAGGTCTTTTTGGTTGGGGTAGTATGGGTTTCTCTCCTCAGCTCCACCTCTGAATTTATAATCTAGATCTACAACGTCTTCCTCGTTCTCCGACTTGCTGCTCTCTTCTAAAGACGGCTGCTCTCTCTCCGGAGGAGTGGGTACAGGAGCTCATGGCAGTGTGGCAGCAAGGCGATGGATGAAGGAAGGTCCAGATACGTGATAGCAGGTGCATTCTTGCCAGTCCGACATTTGGAAGGGTCCACCATGCAGAAGTAGCAGTTGCTTGAGTGGTCAGTGGGTTCCCGCCAAATTAGTGGGATAACGAACTTCATGGCTCTCTTTTCCCCTTTGTGCCATCCTACAAAAATAAATGTATTTCACCCATGACTAATGTGTAAGAGGTTCTCGCAACATTTTTGCATATATATTTTTTCAATAACATTGAAAATTGCTAAAAATTTTAAGTTAAAAACGTTTCCAATTTTTAAAATTTTATAATGTAAAATTCCGAGCAACAATTGTCCATCTTACCTTCCAGAGTTGTTTTGCATAGCTTGCAGGTGAAATGAGGTGCCCAGGGTTTGTCTTGATCCCTGACAGGCATGCCGAAATATGCCTTGTAGGCCTCACTCGTCTTAGCAGATGCTTCCACAGAGTACTTTCTTGCTCTTTTCTTGATAAATTGGCCGTAGACATGGCAAAATGCGTCTGCCAGATGCTTCCAGCCTCTTGATGCCATCTCAGAAAAATGCAGATATGTATCCACTTAGGCAGCTGGAACTAAATTGTATTTATACTCGTTTTTATTTTACTGAAAAGTTCTAGAATATTCTAGAAGTTTCTCCAGGTTTACTCAGCACTGAAGCGATCTGGAATGTTCTGGAAAATAGGTAAATTTCTAAATATCACTGTCCTGGGTCACAAAAGCAAAGTTTATGGGGAATAATAGCCATTTTCTGTACTTGAGGGATAAGCAATTAGGAAATGACACTTACTACCCAGGAACAAAAAAAAAGTTGTTACACAGTATAATCATTCAAATGCCTTCTGGAGGTCAGCTTAGCCCATCATTCCTCTGCAGTCACATTTCGTGGAGAGTCAACTGTAGTCATCCTACAGCAAGACTGGCCCCCTGCCAAGAGAATGTGGAATTTCTAGCAGCGGTTCAGGGTTGTCAGACATGTGCGATTTTTCACTGTTTGAGTTGGGAGATGCTTGGCTAATTTAAATTAATAGCAATGAACTCTGGGCTAATGCGAGGCCACCAACGACCCTTCAATGCTGGCAACCTGATACTAAACAAATTCTCGTAAACCAAACATCCTGTCATGGTTGTAGAGAAACGTGTCATTTTTTCTGTACATGTAGTAATCAAGGGTCTGTTTATTAGGAAGCCACCGGAGCTTGCACTTTTAAATCTAAAATGAAAATTCACTTCTTTAAAAACTGCTTTTTGTGTTTAGTTTTTGTCCTTCCCCCGCACCTCCGATTAGCAGGGTTGGTTACGCAGACGGCACGAAAGAAGTTCAACATACAAATGCAGTCTAGGTCAAACTGCGATTACATTACAGAAGAAACATTGCGGGCAATTATTTATAGAGTGGACACATTGTGTTTATGTATATTACACTTAATTCCTATGTAACTTAATGGATACATTATGGAAATGATTGAGTCAGTTTATTATAGCACGAGTTGTTTTGGAAAATGTAATTTAACCTCCACGAGGCTCTCTTCCGCAGAGCCTCGTGCGGCACCGCAGAGCCTTCTGCACGTATCCAACGAGGGTATCAAAACCACTCCCCATATGTCCTTTGCAATAGAGCAGAGCTGCTGGGATTTATAAATGAAGCAATATTCTCAGCCTTTTGTTACTCTGATGAATTCAGAAAGATGGAGGATGCCTTCACAGGGCGTTCGCTTTGTGAATGTTCATATTAATCAATGAATCAGAATTTTTATGCCGAACCAAGCGTTGAGATGCAATATCTATTTCTGCAAAGGAAATTAATATCTGTTTAACACCTATGCTTTCGCGACCAATCTTATTCATACAAAGAGTTTTGGGTTAGATCGCGTTATTTATGTGTAGCAACCCTCCACCACCCGACACAGCCAATCAGTAAAAAAATGTGTCACGTTGACAAAATACAAATAGTTCACTACTTTAGCTTACCGGTGTGTTGAAGAGTGAATCCACAACATTTAATTGAGTACGACGTTTCGCTGGTAAATACATCCAGCATCATCAGGCAATTTGCCAGAATGTGTGGGTGTGGTGAGGTAAGGGCTGGATGTAATTACCAGCGAAACGTCGTACTCAAAAACTGTAAATGTTGTAGATTCACTCTTCAACACACCGGTGGGCTAAAGTAGAACTATTTGTCTTTTGTCAACGTGACAGATCTTTTACTAATTGGCCGTGTCGGGTGGTGGAGAGTTACGACACATTTATAAATAACGAGATCCAACCCAAAAACCTTTATTATGGAAATTAATATCTTCCTCCACCTAGGCTACATTCTCTTTGGTTATTTCGGTAAAGTCACGTAGGCAGAAAAATAAAATAAATACAAAATAATTTAATCACGACGTTTCGATCACAACACAAGCGATCGTCCTCAGGCGGAAAAAAAAATATCCAGCAGTGGAACTGCTGAACCAGGAATAACACATCGGGGTTTTTTTTTACCTACGTGACTTCACCAAATGAACCAAAGAGTATGGATTCCTGCAGTCACGAAAGCTTCTAATCTAGGCGACATTCTTATGCTCCGTGAGATTATATTTCTTGTCTAAGGCTTCGCCAGTCAAGCTTGCCTGTACAACTGTTGAAGTGTGCAATCAAAACGTGCAGGAAAGTGCCTTATCCGAATCACGTGTACACACTCCTGCTCAGACCAATTTCCCTGCCTACCCTGTGGCTTGCCTTTCAGGCACTCACCCCCTTTTATCATTATCTTTTTCCATTTGATGCCCCGTAAAAAAAGTGTGTTAGGTTGGTCTCTATCAAATCAATGCCCATTCTTTTGGAACGCCTGTATGTGGTTAAATTTACTGCAAACAATCCTGTCATTATGTTTCAATAGAGCAGGGTAACATGAAGCCATGTAGTACTCTGATCTTCTCCAATCCTGATGCACGAGTAGTCTAGTTTTTTCTGTGATCATTTTGGTTCATTTATCTCCAACGCTGCCAGTAACAGCCGTTTCTCGAAGAGACATACTTTAAAAAAATGTTGTTCAACTGGCTGCCATTTACTGACGCCCTTCCATAAAGTCTGGGATCATGACCTCCCTGGAATTAAACACTTCCAGAAAAAAAAGAAGGGTGCCACCCACCCTTTCCCATACCCACCCCACGCAACTTTCCCCACGTCCCCACCAGTTTCCCTAGCCCTTACCTCCCCACACCCACACAAATAAAACCGGATGGATTCCAACTGGACGAACATTTTCAATGTTATTATTGTTTTTGTTATGCTACTTCGAGTCACATTTTTCAATATGATGCACTTTAAAAAGAACAATGGTTTTTTTTTTTATCCAGAAAACCTCTAGACACTATCAGGTGGACCCTGAATTATGTAAATGAAGATTGATTTTGCATTTAGGACGAAGTGATTTAGAAAAGTGAGTGGGGGTTATTGTAATGGCGGAATTTTAATTGGCAACTTACGAGCTACAGGGATAGAGATATATTGTAATAAAACAATAGTTGTATCAGTCCAGATTGACGTAGCAATATGCATTCAATGCCGCGGCATTTGATTTCAGTAAAAGTCACTCATCACGCCAATGCGGTCCCAGCCACATGATGAAAACGCGAGCACAGGAAGGAGTAGTAGCTGGCAGCCTCTGTACACGGTCTATAGCAGATTGACTGCACTTTGCACCGAGACTGACCTAAATTCTTGCTGGCACCAGCACAAACGTGCAATGAATGCCCACCATATATGCCATACATAGCGTGAGCTGCATATATTGTATGTGTTTCTCTAACAGTTTATGGTGGGAGATAGAAAGCAACGACTAACCTTGATGAAGCTGTTATTTTCAACAGTTGCCATGAAGCGCATATTCCGTCCATGTTCCAAGGCTTTAATTCATGTCTAGAAGAACTTTTCAATTTGCTCCACAGAGCACCTTTTCACAGAACATCACATAATTGTGAGTAAAACATAGCACTTTCCCCCTAAATCATTTCAACTCTAGAAACATGCGGGACAAACTAGTAAACCGGTCTGGTAAGAATACGTTCTGCAGATTTCAGTGGATTTTCTACAATTTGTATCGGGGTTTTTTTCAGATATCTATGTACGCCAGTTAAAAGACAAATTACATTTAAAAAAAGCACATGAGAGCAAATCTATTGCCATTACCTCTTGTAATCTCCTCCTCTAACAGTCGCCTGCTGATATAACGCCTTCGAATTTAGGCCATGGATTTTTCCCATCATTTTTTCACCAGTGATTAATTGCATAAGTAGTGCCGAGCGACACAGCCCAGACAAGTATTATAATCCCGTAAGTCGAGATATTCGGAATGGTATTAGTTACGCGAATGGCATATCGCTAAGTTAATCTGTGGGCTGCTGACTATTTATGCCAAATTCTCCTTGCTCAAATGGGCTTTTGGAAAATCCTCCTACCTTGGTGGCCTTCAGCCAGGCGGCGAAATTTTTGGTCTCACTGCATAGACCAGGATAAACACCGCATATAGTAGCGGTGTTGCATTCACACCATATAGTAAAGCATAAATGAGTTTCCTACGTCAGTGTATAGGCATTCTTGATTCGTACGACAACGGGCCATTTTTTTAAATAATTAGAGTTATGTTAATCCACAGGTGATAAGTAGATTAATTTGGCAGTTCATCAGTGCTTGTTCTGTGGAGATCTTGGCTCCACCACAGTAATGTGGACTTTACACCATTGGACCATCGACTTTGGGCCACCGAGAGAGGAGCACCAACTCAGGAGACGCATTTAGCGTTAATTAAAGCTCATAAATACAAACACTTGTGTTTTTTTGGGTTAGATCGCGTAAATATATAAATGTGCTGTTAAAACCCGCCACCACCCGACACAGCCAACTAGTAAGGGTTGTCACGTAAACAGAACGTGGCCAATTCGTCACTAGTACAGCACACCGTTGTGTGTTGGAGAGCCAAGCCACAACATTTACAATCTGAATACGTTTCGCTAGTAATTACAACTAGCTTCATCAGGCGACAGCCAGATTTATGGAGAAGTCCACCTGTTTTGTTCCTTATGTAGAGGCGTAGATGTGATGACCACGCTTCTGCACTCTTGCGCAAAGTTGGGGGGGGGGGGATTACCGAGTCAAGTTACATTATTGCGAGTCCTTTGATCTTGTCCTTCCTGTCCATTGTGTATATTAAAATAGCCGTACCAACGGTAATACCTATTTTAGTATGGTGCCCTGTATAGGCATTCATTTAAAACAATGAATTATTTAATGATTCGCTTCCACGCAGCACTAAGTCGGTAGCTATCCGAACGGTAAAAAAAAATTCGTTAGATTCTCCAATTAGTATTGGCCAGTAGTAACTAGTTTTGCACAAAACTTCTACATTATCCAAATAAATTGAGTGTCCTTGTTGGCATGCGTGTTCTGCTACTGCTGACAGTTGTATTTGGGAGTATTTAATATTTCTCTGTTGTCCTTTTATTCTCGCGCTGATCATTCGTTCTGTTTGCCCAACATAACATTTACCACACGTGCAGTTAATCCTGTACACGCCGTCAGTAATACATCTTTTGTACCAGATATTAATTTCTGTAGTTTATGTACTGTGCCAAATCTGACTTGGAGGTTTTGTTTTTCAAAACATCTGGCTAGTGTATCAGTTACTCCTGTAATGCAAGGCGTTTTGATCGTTTTAATTACTTGGGCAGTTTCAATGCTCGTGTTATTTGATTTGGTTTTGGCATTCAATGCCCTGTTGATTTGTGCATCATTGTAACCGTTCATTTGCAACGCTTCTTTAACAATGTTGAATTTCAGTTCTCAGACTGTCACCATCTGACACTTTCTTAGCTCGATGAATGAGCATCTTGATGAGAGCAGATTTCTGTGCAGGGTGATGGTGTGACTCTGCATTCAGATAAGCGTCAGTACGAGTTTTTTTTGTTTTGGTTAACGCTTTGTTATTTTACCATTTCGACCACGTTTGAGCAGAATATCCAAAAACGGTAGAGTTCTAGTTTGATTTAAAGTGTTCGTGACTGCAGGGATTCATATTCTTGGTTCTTTCAGTAAATTCACGTAGAAGGGAAACAATACAATAATAAAAATATAAAACAATAAAATTATCACGATGTTTCGACTGCAACACAAGCAATCATCATCAGGTGTGAAAACCACAGCAAGAAAATTTGAAAAAAGTGGCAATTTCAACCGAGAAGATGGATTCTGGCTTAGCAATCATTGCAAGGATTTAATCAAACATTTCGGGCCTTAATTGATTGTTCACGCTTATGGTGGCTTTCAGACCGCATCCATTATTTTCGTCTCCTCCCTCCTTTTCCGAACATAGATGGACTCGTCCATCTAAACAAACTGCCAAATCGCTCTCCGTGGTGCTAACGTAAAAAAATCGCCACTTTTTAAAATTTTCTTGCTGTGGTTTTCACACCTGATGATGATTGCTTGTGTTGCAGTCGAAACGTCGTGAGAATTTTATTGTTTTATATTTTTATTGTTTCCCTTCTACGTGACTTTACCAAAATAACCAAGAATATGGTAGAGTTATGTCAGCTTCCACTGCCATGGTGAACTGGATGGATGGGTTTTGTGAGTTGAGATGATTTAGATATTCATTAAGTGTATCTTTGCCATGTGGCCAGACTACCAATGTGTAATCCACATATCTAAACCAAGCAGCGGGGTTTGGTGTGCTTGAAGTTATTGTTTTTGTTACAAAATTTTGCCATGTACAATTTCGCTATCACAGGAGACAAAGGAGAGCCCATTGCTGCTCCTTTCTTTTGTTTATAGAAGTCACCTTGCCACCAGAAGTAGGTGTTCTTTAGACAGTGTTCAGCGAGTCTTGGGATATCTTTGGCTAAACCGTTGTTCGTTACCAGTGTCGAGTAATTTAATTGACTCGTTGACCAGAACCCTCATGAACAGAGAAGTCACATCAAACTTACGATAATATAATTAGGGTTAAGCTTTATATCTTTAAGCATATTTAGGAAATGTTCAGAGTTTTTTTTTATGAATGAAGAGGTCCTACCGATGTAGGGCTATATTTGTTTCGTTACGTATTGTGCTAATTTGTATGTGGCAGAGCCTATTGTACTAACTATGGGTCTTAATAGGATGTCAGGTTTGTGAATTTTTGGTAGCCCATGAAGTTGTGAGGGCCACTGTCCTCCAACTCTTCTGTCATGATCACGCTACTGCTCTCTGACTGCTCTGTCAGGTTCGGGCTACCGCCCCCCAATTCCTCGCTCCCCTGTACCCCCGACTTTGCTGCTGCCCCCCGCGTATTCACGATTCAATTGGTGGGACTGACTACTTTACTCTTACGACGCGCTACGTGGGCTCAGGGGTGGACGTGCTGCGGTGAGCGCGCCCGCGGAGTAAAACCTCGTCTCGTGCGTAAATAAAGGGATACAGCGCGCTGACGCGCGACTCTGCGGCCGCACCAAGCGCCCACGCATGGGACTCGGGGTCAGAAGTCAGGGGGCGTCCACCGTGCGCGCGCCGCTGATTGGAGGGAGTCACTCCGCCCCGGTTTAAAGGCCGTTTAAACAGCCGCGCGTGTACGCGAACACCAGGCGCTCTACCGAACGGTTGGATGTAATTACCGTGCACCCCGGCGACCCGACCCACGACACTCCACCCTCCTTCCCGCGCTCACAGAGACCACACGACACGGTTTATACTCTCCTGACGATTTATTCGCCGCAACTCCAACGTAGCTCAGAGTGCCAATGTGGGTCAGCAGATGCCAGTCTATCCCTCGGTTGACCGGAACTTAACCTTAACCCATCTCTCGTAACCTATTCGGCTGGGCGCTCCCTTATTCTCCCGTTGTTATTTAGCCCAAACTCACCTCTACCTTACTTACGCTTACTCCCACTCGGATGCGCTGGAAGCTGTGGAAGGGCGGTGCTGTACGTTGTCTCCGTGGAGAATTGGGCCTGGCTGCGTTGAACCTCGTCACACGGACGACTCGAACGGCTGGCTCCAACACCCCGCTGATCGATGCCTTGAAGAACACTGCCCGTCACTCCCTGGTTCACCCTCTTTTATCGTTCTCCCTCACATCAAAGGGCACCGCGCTGCCCCGCCCCCCTGGCCTCCCGTCCAATCAGGAGTCCGGATTTTCCCGCTTTTTTGATAGTCGGATCCTAGCTCTGGTGACGTCACCGCAGTTGTCCCCTCGACGTCCGCTTTCTGCTCTTCCCGCTACTAGCCCACTGACCCATGTTGCATGTGCGTGTCTCCATCTGCGGTGGCTCAACAGCCCCTGCCGTGACCATGCAATTATAATATCAGGTCACGGCGCCACGGTGCACGTCAGCCTCGGGGGGGGGTAGGTCGCCCAATTCCCCGGCCGTCGGAAACCATGAAGCTTGATCCCATTAAGGGCTTCTGGACTAAAACCTGTCGACCAGGTGACTTCCCCTCGGGCTCTATGTGGGGTATGCGTGCGTTCACGTGGGGGGCAGTGAGGGGCGAGCAGCGTCGGTGCCGTCGCTCCTTGGGTGGCGGCGTCACGGCGGTGGGTACGGCCCCGACGGAGCGGCTCCGTGGCAACGGCACCACAAAGTCTTGGTGGTTTTGATGCCCTTGGTTTGATCAGGTATTGCTCTTCCATGGGAATTGATGACTTGGCAAAGATTGCTGTTGTTTTACATTCGAAGATGCTGGTTTTAAGACACAATGGACAGGAAGGACAAGATCAAAGGTGACATGTCTCGGACCGTGTTCGTGAGTACAAGGCAGATTTGACACACGGGAGGACCAACACGTCAGCCGTGGCTGATCATTGTTTTAATGTGGTTGGCTCACACGAAATTAATTTCTCAAAGACGAAGGTACTTTGCAAGCCCACTGGCTATCACCAAAGATTCGTTCATGAAGCCATCCATACCCGACAATCATTGG